AAAACTTCAAAGTATTGCTTCTGTCAAGCCTTCAACCAACAAAAGTAGACTTTCAAATGCTGCATACGCTTAGTCATTCTGACTTCAATGCTCTCCTTTTTTTTCCCCTGCTCTGTTGGTGAACCAGTGGGACATGGACTAATTATACTTTTCAGGGACAGTGGACAATGATTATGGATTGTTGGATATGTTCCACTGTTTCTAGGGGCTTCCACATAACTTGAATGTTTACTCTTGGCTCCAGCTTGTCAGGCTTTTCTCTAAGCAGAGCATTTTGTTTGATAGAGCTGTGGTTATCAAAAGGAGGAGTACAGCAAAGCTTTCAGCAAATAAACAGAGCTTTCGAGCACAGGCTTATTGGTGCTGCTGTTGCAGAAAGAACAATATTAATATTAAATGGCTGAACCAGAGTATTCCCAAGGAGATGGTGCAATGTAGAAGGATTTCAGAAAGCCATGGAATTTTTAGGCCCAATACCTTAATAGTAGTTTTGTGTAATTGTGTGGTTAGTTGGGATGATGGTTCATATATTATCTGTAAAAGCAAAGGAATGAGTAATTCTGTTAAAATGGGGCTGAAGATGTGTCATACAACTTCAGCAGTAGCATTTTCTGAATGAGTTCTGCAAGTGTGATTTGTATAGGGAGCTGTTAGAGGGGTGGTTTGAAATACATGCTCCTTGGGATATCAAATTCAAATTTCTCAAAACATGCATTTTCAAAATTGCGAAAAATTGAGAACAATTACTTCCTTGGATTTTTTTTTTTCCAGATAGCGAATTTGTGTTAAATAAGAAGAAAACTGTGTTTAGTAGAGTAACTGCTTGCTTAAGGCTTGGGATTGTGCAGGTTTACATTTCCTTTAATGCCTTTTTGGAGTTACTCCCTGCTCCCATGACTGCAAGAGTCAGCACATGCTGTGGATAGCTGTGCTGAATAACTGTGGGAGTAGCTGTGCTGTTCAGGTGGCCTGCCTGGGCAGCTGTTGGGCCAGACAGAATAGCACTGAAGCTTATGATGAAGTGTTGGCAACTGAAGTTGCCAGTCTGATCTTTCTATAGTTGTGCTATTTTTTTTTGTTGTTGTTGTAATGAATCTTTTGGTATCTGTCCAATCAGATGGTGAATTAGTGGGGAGTAATCTGGGTACCAAAGGTATAAATGCGGAGTAATCTTCTCCCACCATAAACAGCAAGTTGTATGGCATAAGTTTCCATGATATTTGTCACAAGAATAACTTTTGAATAGCTTTGAAACAAAAAATGTGATGACCTGGTCAATAAAAATAAAGCAAAAATAAAAATTTCTCACAGCAAACTTCCTTCTTTGCACAAGATTCAAGACTGTTGGTGACATACTTTAAAATGACTATGTACAGATAACTGCTTCAAGAAAACACAATTACATGATGTGAATTCTGTCTCTGATACCAGTATTTTTTAAATTTTGTCAATTTTCATTTCATCCTGTGTTATTGCACAGCTCTCTGCCATTTGTGTTTTTAGATGGGTGAAAATTGTTTTGTGGTTCACTTGAAACATAATCAATGCAGTGTTGTGGATCCCTGTCAAGTCAGATGGTGGTAGCAGAAGTATAGCTAGACAGAGCACACAGGTCACCAGCAAACAAGGGAAGACAACGGGCCTTTTATTGGGCTCTGAATGCCTGCTTGGAATGGCTGCTGATGTTCAAAGCATTGTGTGCTACTTCAGACGGAAATATGTGCCTTTCCATGGTTTCTGATGTGGTTGTAAAACTTCATAAAATCTGGCTTTCTAAAGGACTTAAGTCAGAGTTGTGTAGGTTGGGAAAAAACTTTAAGATCATCAAGTGTAGTAGGAAGACAAAACAGCCTTTTTTTAGCATAAGCATGGTCTGAAATGCCCTTATGAGGATGTGATTTACCCTTCATATTCCAGTCATGTTGTACACCCACTTACAATCTTACAGTCTCTTTCCATCATTCCCACTAATCCAAACTACTCTTATCTATCGTGGGTGTCTGGTTTTGGTTTAAGACTTGTCCATTTTAAGAACTTTTAAGAAATTGTACTTCCTGTGATAACTCTTTAGGTTAAGAAACCTGGGTGAAATTTAATTTGCATTTGGTGTGGTAAATATTTTGCACTGCATTTGTACAGCTCCTGCAGTCAGACTCTGGTACAATGAGAATGTCTTGGAAGTGTGTGTGTGACTAAGTAGGTTCTTTGTCTTAGTGGTTGTCCATTAGTGAAACTGGTAGTGAAATTGGTAGTGAAATTGGTTGCCCATTTAGTAAAACTGTGCTACCAGGAACAGAAGAACACAGAGTACCTGGCAGTTTGTTTAAATTAATTACAGTAGTGACTTGAGGCATATTTCATTTGTTACTTCCTTTTGTGGTTAGGTATTTAGAAGGAATTAGTTGCTCCAGGAAACACTTTTGGAAGCCTGTTTTCTGAAGGTTTGCAAAAATTGCAGTGCAGTGGGAAGAGCCGATGCCTTTAAGATGCTTGCATCATTTTAAACGAACAGGTGTTTGTTCAGCACAGTCCTCCTCCGTTCCTGTTTGCATATTCATAGAACTGTATCTACTATGGCTCTGTAGCTGGTAATGATCTGAAGTCACACAGCACCTTGTTTTCCGAGTCCTCACAGAAACTGCCTCTAGTGGTCATGATGGCCTGACACATTGACACGGAGCTGTGGTGGCTTTTTGGTTTGGATTGTTTGTTGTTGGGAGTTTTCATTTGTTTGTTTTGAGGGTTTTTTGTTTTGTTTTCTTCCCCCCTCACTCCAAATGCTCAGGCACTTGAGGAGGAAGATGAAGCAGAAAACTGGGAGGGAGAAACATGAAAAACTGGGTTGTGGTTTGTTGCTGTGAGTTGATCTCCTCCAGGTTTCAATGGTAGCAGTGACATGGTAATTGTGATGAGTTTCTTTGATCTGACTTGTTTTGGGTGGCAGGAGAAGAAGTAATTGGATGGTCTGGTATGGGTGGGGAAGAGGCCTTCCTCTGTCATTTGCCAGCACATCTCAGGATGGATGCAAACTGATTATCATGGTAGAGCCCCAAGCGTTGAAGTGCTGGGAGCAGAATCAAGTAGGGACTGTTGTAACATTTGTCTTTCTGCTGGTCTGAAATTAAGCACAGTTTTTCTTTTCTTCAGTGTTTCCTGATATTCTTTCCAGTATTGAGTTGGGGCTGGGAAGGGACTGTGTAGATTTGAACACCACCAACTCCTGCTGCTAGAGATTCTGTAAATAGCCACAAGCATTACTTGTCTTCCTCCTAGCAATCATATGACTGCTGCTTGTATAGTTATACTCACAAATCTAAGTATGGAAATACTACTGCTGGCTCACTTCAGGCTATTCACTGCAAGTTTAAAGCTACATACACAAATATTCTGACTTTATATGTTTTGTTACCAAAACGTTGTGAAAGATTGATACTGTTAAAACAGTGATTCTTGATATTAGCTTTTACTTTAGAACAGACTTGTGACTTTTTTGACTGTTTGTCTTTTAATTTTGTATAAAGATGTATTAAACAAATATATTAAGTTTTATTTTATCTATTATTATACTGTAAGTGACTGTTTAATTTTGAGAACTCAAATCAGTGCATTGAACTTGACCCTGTTGTGGAGTACAATTGCAGAATGAATGCAGAATTGCTGAGTTTGAGGTAGTAACTACTGATCTTAGCTCTAAATTAGCTATATAAGTACTCATTTAAAAATATCTTTTTATCATTAGATCTGTTTCCCGTTGTTGTTTCTTGCTGTCCAGTAGATGATGATGATAATGTTGGTAATAAGGACTGTTAGGTGTTGAATATGCAATTGGACTATTTAGAACTGAAACATCAAATATGAAATATGTAGTTAGGATGTCTGCCTAATTTCTCTAATGCTGAGCAATCTTTGAAATGACCTATGAGATTTATCACATTTGCCAAGTAGCTTGGGGAAGATGCTGAAGTGGGGGTATCACAGCTTCTCCCTCGACTTGCCAACTTTCAGAGCAATCAGGTTTGCTGCTCTTGGTTGTTAGAGTCTGAAGGTCACTGGGGAAAATATTGAAAACCTGACACTTGCAGAGATAGAGGGTGTGTTTGTAGTTGGAAAGTAGGAGGGATGGTCAGGGCGATTTCAGAAAGGGTGTGGGAAGAAAAGGTATGCATCACAAAAACAAAGCTTTTTTGACTGCTTCTCTGGAAGAAACCTGTTCTAAAAGGGCACTGTGATTTTTGAGGGCAGCTAATGTTTGCTGTTATTGTTTGGGTGCATATTCAGGTTACTTGCAGAATAGTCTGAAGTTTCAAGTTAAAACTCCTATGCCTTGTTTAGTTTTGAAAACACCTTTTGTCTTGTTTTGCTCAGGAATTGAAGCTTGAACATACTGAGAATTTTGCAAGTGATTAAACTTTTGCTCACTCACAACTACAATTAGAAAATTAAATTGGAGCAAGAGTATTTTTACCCCTTATCTCATACCATCACTCAAATGTATATGGTATTGTAGAAACTGCATCATGGTAACAAAGGCTGTTGGACAAACAGTTCTTGTACTCAAATAGTAATTAAAAGTATAAATACTGAACCTTGGATTCTTTAAAATCTGAGGCTTAAGGCATATGGAATCTGTTGAAACAGTTTTAAGCCCTGAAGTACAATAAGGGAATGTGTAGAATTAGGTGAAGAAGAATCTTAAAGATTGCAAGTAGAAATCAGGTGCTTTGCATTTCATGAGAACATTCTACAAATACTCTGTAAAAGGAGTGTTGAATGGTGAAATTGGATGTAGGGATCTGCTTGCCCTGCTGTGACAGGCAACTTTAGGTATTTTGACAGGTACATGGTGCACCAGTCAGTTGTTACAGCAGCTCAGTCTGGAATATAAATTATGCAGCCACACACTTTAATGGTTTAATGTATTAACAATAGTAAATATAAAGGGGTTCTGAACTAAGGTATTTTCTCTGATTAATCTGTGTTGTTGTGGTTTTTTTATTAAGGTGTGCAAACAGATTTGGCTAGGCCTATTTGATGATAGATCATCAGCAATTCCAGACTTCAGGGATCCACAGAAAGTAAAGGAATTTCTACAGGAAAAATATGAAAAGAAAAGATGGTAAGATACCTTTACTTTTATAAAGATTGCCCTCATGAGGAGAAGTGAAGATGGACTGTTTGCTCTCATTTTGAGTGTTATTTCCTTCTTTGAGTGTGCTCTTCAGACTAGATTACATAGCTCTGTAAAGTGAAATGATTTCTGAACTTTAGAGCTCCTACAGGAAGCAGAGAAGACAAACTAAACAAGTTTCTCAATGTTCATATTGATGGAATAGAAACGGCTTAAGAGGATATCAACAACAGTGTAAAGTAACAGTTTTGCAAACTGTTATTTCCCGTCTGATTTATTAGTATGGGAAAGGCATGTTTTGTATTGAATAAGTGCTAAAAGTATTGATGACTTTAAATTCTAGTCCATTAAAAAAAATCTCTCTCATATTTAAAGAATGGGTACTTTGCAAACTGCTGATACAGTCTATTGTAGGATCAGGGTTTCAGGAGCTAAGCTGAGATCTGCCAGTTGTCAACTTCAGACTCAAGAATTTCTCATGTGAAACTTGTAAAAACCATTGCTCTTCTTGCATGTAGGTATGTTCCTCCAGAGCAAGCAAAGGTGGTGGCATCAGTCCATGCATCCATATCGGGCTCTTCTGCCAGTAGTACAAGCAGCACACCTGAGGTGAAGCCACTCAAATCTCTCTTGGGAGAAGCTGCACCCGCACTGCACTTAAACAAGGGCACACCTAGCCAAGTGAGTGATGACTGCTGAGCAGCACAGAACTGCTCTGCAGTTCCTTGTTACTCTTTCCGTGGCACAGAAATTCTTGCAGCAACAGCTGCTGTGATCTGTAGGAACTAATATGATCACTGTATGTCATATTTTACTGAAGTATATGCATGTTTGCAGATCAGGTACTAAATGAAGTTTATTTCAATTCACCAAATTGATTTTTTAGTGGTTATTTTCAGTAAATAAAGTTTTCCATTGTGATAGGATTAATTAATTGTCTTTTACATAAATACCTCTAAAGTTTGGACTTAATGTGTTATGTTTTCATTTTTGCATTTTCTCTTTGAAAATAAGAAAATGATTGGTGTTGTTAACTGAGATTAGTAGTGAATATGTGGATGAAAGCATGTCATATTTATTATGGCTTCCTATGCATTCTGAAACTGTCTTAATTGGCTTTCAGGGGACATCTGTATGCTGTAATGTAAAGTCAAACAACACTGTGTACTTAGACTTTTGGAGGGAAGACAGTTTGTTTGAAAACTGCCATCAAGATACAGGCAACTCTTGAATGGACCTCTTTTAACTCAAACAGTAGAAAATTGCAACTTCAAGCCCTGCTATTAAATTCTTCAATTTTTCTATCCTTACACTGAATTCTAATGATTTTTTCATAATGTGGTGAATAACTATTTTCTATGTTGTAAAATTAAGTTTTGTTGCTTGTATTTGTACAGTATTTACAGATTCAAATACAAAAGCTGAAGTTGCTAATAATATATTGCTACTTTAGTCTTCTGGGTGCTATTAAACCATGTAAATCTGCAACAGAGTTCCTTTAAGAGCCAGAGTAGGAGCATAAATAGTCTTCCTCATACTGTAGGAGGAGGGTGTGTGCTACATTCAGCATCTTAAACTTCAGGAATAAATGTCTTGTTAAAGAAATAAGCTTAGTCTAGCCTTCTAATATTTTGTAAATATCAGTTTGGTAAAATATCACCTTTTTGTACTAGCTAATTGAAATCTTGTTTGTAGTCTCCTGTTGTAGTTCGATCTCAAGGACAGCAGCAACAAGAAAAGAAACAATTTGACCTCCTCAGTGACCTTGGCTCAGATATCTTTGCTGCTGCCCCTCCTCAGTCAACTGCTACAGCAAATTTTGCTAATTTTGCACACTTCAACAGTCATACAGGTAGGTATTTGGACTACTGTATCCCTTTTAATTGTATAAAATGTTGCTTTAATTTTGATGGCTTTTGGCTAAACTTCATGAGGTGTATGTAATCTCTGTGCCTTAGGAATGTTGTATTGTTGAAAGTTTATTTCAGGTCTTTATAAAGAAGGGTTGAAGACATAAAGACTGACAATTCTGCTTTTGGAAGTGGGGGTTGCTATAGCTATTCTCTAGGATATGTGTGATTACACTGCTTCTGCCTACTACTAAACTTTAGGTTCTTTGGGGGAGAGAGTGAGAGAATGAGTAATGAAATGTTGGGAGAATCTGATATTAGACCTTCAATTTTCTTTCTGAAAATTATTAGGACGAGTATTCATGAAAAGCAAGCAGATACAGAGACTTAAAAGGAGTTCAAATGCAGTGATAATAAGTGCCAATTTGTCAAAGGAAAAACCAAGGCTTAGCCAGTTTAAAGAGTGATCTCATCTTTTGTGTGTGTGTGTTTGAAAGCTGAGTGCCCATGTGAGCAGTATTCTGTAGTTTCAGGGAGGATAAACAAGCCTGGAGCATATGTATTGACTGAGGAAAGAGGATAGGCCTTGAATTCTTAGAGGATGACTTCAGTAAAATATATTGAACCCTCAGGGTTTTTTTTTCCCAGCCAAAGACTAAGAGCCATGAAAGTGTATCCTAAAAAGAAAGTCAATTCTGTGGTCACTGAAGTTTGTTGTTGCTAGCTTGCCTTGTAGTTGTGGGAAAGTACCTTTGCCTGGTCTGAATGGGCTTTTCATCTCATTGTTCTGAGAGAAACTGTGATGCTGCTAAGCCACTCAGAATTAGAGAGATTTCTTGCAAATCAGTCCTGAAACTGTTAACAGCAAAGATAAAGTATCATAGACTGGACTTAAGGTTCACACCTGACGAACTGAGCAAAATACCAAGATTTATCCAAATTAATGTGAAATAAATGTCTGAATTCAGTAACACTGCAACAGCAATTGTTATTCTGTGTGTTCTGTAAAATCCTTAAAATTAGATTTCTTGTTAATCATAATTTTGTGGGTGTATTTAACTGGGAGAACTTGTGCTGCCAGTGCTGTATAGTGTTACTGAAAAGGCTGCAGATGGTTAATTCTTTCTAATAATTTATTTCCAGACTTGTTGCTGAATGATTATTTATATACCCTTTATTATTTTTAGTGCTTTTTAGGAGATAAAAATTCCATTAAAGCAGTATTTCAGTACTGTGTTCCAAATCTAGGTAAAATTTCATTGTGTCTCTGCTGGATAATTTTTAGAAGGATAGAAAGCTATAGGAACACTCCAGAATAAATAAAATCTGAGGAGAGAGTCTGTTAATTTCTGGCCACAAACTAACCATTGTGGTCATTCCCATGACTTCTTACCATAGGTTTTAGAGCCCCAAGCAGTATCAGGGCTAGTAAATCAGTTTCTAAAAGACAGAAACCTGATTGTGAGTGTGTGGTAGCTGAACATGTATTGCAGACTTGTTACCTGAGGGTGTTTTCTGACTTGCTGTAGTAAAATGCTTGTAAGGCTTATCTTGTGTGCAGTAAGTACTGGGTGGTGTTAGTGAAAAGAATAACAAAATGTTACAGACTCTTCCTTTGGAACGCAAGGAGGGTTGATCAGTCTGCCAGCTTTGGCAAAATTGAGTTTGAAATGCTCATTAAGGAACTGTATAAACATGTAATTTTTGTTAGCAATTACACACTGCTAAGGAGGATGGGAAAATTTGCACTTAGTCCAGCACTACTTTCTTGAAGTTTACAGGCTGGTCTTCTTGTTTTAGAGCTTGGTTTTAGCTGTGTGTATAAGGGATGTACACAATACCAACTAAATCACTGAAGAGACCAGCAAACATAAGATCCTTCAGTATAAGTTACTGAGTGCAGCAGCTGATAGGAAAATATTAACAAACTTGTGCTGTAATCTGTGAAGTGTAGATGTAAATCTTGAAAATTATGCAGGAACTGCAATTTGTGATGTGTTTCTGCTTTCCAAGTTCTTTAATGTATTAAGCTCGTTCAGGATATTGTTGCTAATTGAAGGGGAAACATATTGACCTTATATTTGCTGTTGGTATTTAATTTACGGAGTTCTGTAATTTCTGCAAAATCAAGATTTTGCAGATGGTACATGACTGATTTGTCTGTACTTTATAGATTGGTAATCGCAACAAGGATCACATTTTTTGGCATGTATATTTCTTAAAAACTGATGAAATAGATGACCTGCATAAAAGATTTTACAAAGGTGTAGTGACACAGCACAACTTCACTACTGATAACATGGGAGAAGAGGCTTTATCTAGAAAAAGCAAAATAATATAAGAGTTATTTTGTAGAGATTTTTTTTTTTTTTACTTTGGGTATATGTAGATTTTATTTTAGTTTTTTTCTGTTTAGCAGTGTTTCGTACCTTTATTGCATATGAGGTAGTACAATCCTCACAGAAGAAACTGCAGAGATTGTGGGAGGAGCTGGCATTGCCATGACTGGTGTTGTCATCCCTGGCTGTAGCCAACTTTTGGCTTTTGTACTGCCTTGTTGGTCTGCAGTGTCAAGAGCAGCTGTAAATCCCTGGCAACCTGCAACCCTCTGCAGTTCCTGAACTTACTTAGGATTGTTCTTGGGTTTTTGTGTGGAGAACTGAATTTTGGAATTGGCAATCTACATATTGTCCAGGTGCAGGAGAGTACAAGTCTTACCTGGTCTTTACTTTTGTGTCACATTTACAAAGGTTGAAGTTTTACTGCATAAAATAAAAGAAGATTAATATCAGAATACTCTGCTGAAGAGGCTTTACAGCAATACTGTTTGAACATGGGCTCACTTGAAGGTCATCCTTTCTGTGTCAGCTGATACAGTAAAATGAAGTGTTTTGTGATGTAATATGCTCCAGTTTTTCATTTGGACCCAAAAGATATTTCATTTAAGATTCTTTACATAGTTTTCTGTTTGTGTGAGTGGTTAAAAGGAATAATCTTGCCCTTATTCTAGAAGTGACATTTACATACTTAATCCTCTTTGGTCAACTAAACATCAGTCTCTTGCCTGTCCAATTGATGCGTTAGGGTGAAAGTATCACTTTCATTTTTAAAGTAAATTCTTAATCTATTCCTATTAAAAAACTACTGGTTTAAAAACCAAAACAACTCAAACTTTGGGATTTGGAGTCTGTAAGATGCTTATGAACCAATACAGCGGACAGACATCATGGAAGTAATTTTTTGTCTGTGCCAACTTTTTGCATACTTCAAAGGTGAAAATAACTTTCCCAAGATCTTGCTTTCACTTGAATTTTTTTTTCCTTGCTGACTCTCATGCTGTGGTGGGTTCCAGGTGCCCACAGGGCTGTATGTTCACTCTCCCATCAGCAGGGTTGGGGGAGAAGACACAAAAAAGCTGATGTGTCGAGAGAAAGTAACTGGGCAAACCAGACTTGACTTAGTTTGTTGACACATAATAATAGAGTAGGATAGGTAAAAAATCAAACCAAACCCACCTTCATCCCTTCTTGTGAGGTATGATTTCACTCCTGACCATATTAGCTCCTCCTCATGAGGGGGCTGGGGAATGGGCATTGCAGTTAAGTAGGAAGATTTTGTCTCTGTTGCTACTTCTTCCTCATGCTGTTCCCCTGCTCCAGTGTGGGGTCCTTCCCCTGCCATGGGATATGGTCCTTCTCAAACTTCTTGGAATGTGAGCCTTTGCCATGGGTGTCAGTTCTTCTAGAACTGCTCCAGCATGGGTCCTTTCCATGGGGTGCCGTCCTTCAGGCAAGGTCACAGCTCCTGCCAGAAAACCTGCTCCAGCAGCAGCTTTCCATGAGCTCCAGCCTCCTCATGCCTTCCCTACCTGCCCTGGCATGGCTCCTGCACAGGCTGCAGTGTGAATGTGTTACACCATGGTCCTTCATGGGCCGCAGTGGCACAGCCTTCCTTACCATGGTCTTCTCCATGGGCCTGGAGCATGTCCTTCCCTCCCTCCTAGCTGGCCTTGGTATCTGCAGTGTTTTCTCTTGCATTTTCCTCGCTCCTCTCTGCCGCAGCTGCTGCACACTGGTTTTTAACCTTTTTAAACACAGTGCCCCAGCCAGCACTGCTGGTATCCTTAGCTTTGGGCAGTGGTGGGGCAATCTTGGAGCTGCAGCAGCTGTGCAGCAATGGGGGCAGCTTCTGTTCTGTCCTCACAGGGACCACTCTGGCTGCTCCCTGCTGCCAAAACCATGCTCTGTAACATAATGCTTATGCACATGGTTTATTAAATGTAGTATCGAGTCCAGCCAAACCTCATCCTCTCTCCCAGGCTACTCTGGGAAAGAAAATGCAGGCACTTTCCTCCTAATTTATATTAGCAACATTGTGGAGTACAGTAATTTGTATTACAATGTTCTTTCAGTTTATAAGTCTGTGGTACAGATGCTTTTGAATAGAAATTAATTGAAATAATAAAACTTTTAATTAGCAGTATCAGATTATTAAGTTACAGTACTTCAGCAATCAGCATAATTTATTCTCTTTGTATATACTTAATCTGCAAAATCTCTCCAAAATAAACAAACTTTAACCTAAAAATATAATGTATTGCCATCTGTTATTCCAGAAGGTGTTTTGTGAGCTTCCTTTAGATGGGAACTCAAGTTATCTTTATAAAAAGGTTTGGTTTGCATTTAATTAAAAGCATTTTTTTTTCTTGCTTATAATAGTGTTAAAGGGCTTCTGTGGACCTTACCAGTTAGGTGTGCAATCCCTGTTGAATCTATAGATGCTTGAATGTCCAGCTGGTCAAAATTAGATTAGTGTTAACTTCTGTTTTCTCCTATAGTATGGCACGAAAGGAAGGCGAAAACTGAAATTCTGTTTGAAATTTCCTTGGGTTTTATTTTGTGGATACACTCTATGAATGCCACTGCTACTGATTTTCCATATTTCTGTACTCTGATTTAGTTTTTTTAAAGAATGAATTTTCCAGTTAAATGAATTTATAAATCTAGCCAAAACTATTCAAGCTGTGCCAACCAAATCACCTGAGGAAGAAGCACTTGGTGTATGAGGAATTTGAATTGCCAGTATGTTACAAGAATACCTTCTGATTTTTATGCACAAAGAAATGTTCAGTTAGCCTGCAGGTTCTAGTTTTGGAAACTAGTTATTTTGTACTTTATGGCTGTTTTTTCCTGAGCAGCCAGCACTGTAAGCACTTAGGGTTAAGCTGGAGTGGATTCCATTGGTTCATGCAGTTGTGAGTAGCAGCTTGTGTGGGAAGGACAGAAGCAGCATTAATTTGATCCAGCTCTGTGATTTGTGAGAGCGTGTTCAAAGACAACTTTCAATTGTAGAATAACATGTAATTTTCTTCATGTCAAAAGCAGCATGGTAGGACATAACACTTGAAGGCTGTCATGACCATGAATTCAGTTAATACATCTGTTTTTGTGTTTATTTCCCATATCCATTAACATGTTTTGTTCCTTTGCGATTTACAGCGCAGAACTCTGCCAATGCAGGTTTTGCAAACTTTGATGCATTTGGACAGTCTAGTGGCTCGAGTAATTTTGGAGGTTTCCCCACAGCAAGTCAGTCTCCTTTTCAGCCCCAAAATACAGGTAGAAGTCCTAGCACTTTTGATTAATACTTAATTGAAATAATCCTTACCTTTATGTTGAAAGGTACCGAAGTTGAGTTTTTCTTGCATCTGCCTGCTTTAATGTGATCAAGCCATCTGAAGCTCTGGGGAAACTCAAAATGAATTCCTTGTGTTTGGTGTTGATTTTTTTTTTCCCCTAACGCTACTCAGAAGTCTGATTTATGGCACTGTGTTTGTTAGCTCTACACCTGAAATAACTATGAAAAGAATAAACTCTACTGCTTTTAATAAGTATTGAATTGACTGTCTTCTAAGAGAAGCACTTCAGTAGATTCAAAAGGATGTCACAGTACCAAACAAGTGTGTGTCTATGTATATGTATAGCATATGCACACACTTAAGTATGTTTGACTTCATGTGTAGAGCCTATTGCTGATTTATTTTGCTTTCCTTTAATTTGATCATGCTTTAGAACTTCTGCTTGAGTTTACACTTGCTGTTTGTCTAGATCTTTGGCTGACTGACTTTCTTTTCCTTTTTTTTTTTCTTTTGAGTGTGGTGTTGTTTTAAACTTTTTTTTCAAATTTTCTTTCTCCCTTCTTATGTTAACTTTAACCCACACACAATTTCTGGCTGTCCAGCGTTCAGAACGCTTTCATCTAGCTGCAGTTTTGGTGAATTTACTTCAGCTTTTCCTCTCCAGGCTGTACACAGTAAGTTCCACGCAGTGGAAAACTCAGCTTGCTTCATTTTATGCCATTGTAGTATAGCACTTCCATTCCTACTGTTGCATATGTTTCAACTTGTTGCTTATGCTTTTAGAAAGTTGTGTTTCTGTTTTAGAAAGTTCTGTAGTATGAGTGGAATCATCAACAACTGTTATAAAATGCGATACACTTAATGGAACTACTCACTTAAATTTAAGTATGTGACCTGCCTAGATTAAATTGTCTGGACAATGAAGAGATGGAAGCTCATGGTGTCATACTTGATCTGAAGTTCAGTTGTGTGGACTCACATCAAATTTCCAAAATTGATGTATCTCTGACTTCAGTGGAGATTTATGATAAAAAAGCTGTGCTGTGTCTTCCCCCAACCTCCTTCCTGATTGGTTGCAGTCTAAAACTCTTGAGAAAAGAGAACCAAACTCTCTAAACCTGGGCATGAAATCACGTAACTTTTGGGTTTCCAGGCACTTTTTTTTTGCTTAGGATTATGGCTGACATCTGAAATGACTAAACATTGAACCACTAAGTAAATGTAAATAGTAGCTATTTGTTAGCCACATATGGTAGGGAAATGAAGCTTCTGTATTTTGAATACTAAAGATTAAGACAAATAAGTCTTTTTCTAGGAAGCTTTTATTATTGAAATTACTTTTAACAGCTGAAAATAGCATATAGTTTTCAGGATCAAATTATGACTGTGGTTTAAAGTGTTGAAGTTTGGGGTGTTTATCCCTGATACACAGTCAAAACACTGTATTATAATATTTTTCTGACGGCCCACTGAACTCTGAAGGAAATGGCAAAGAGCCTTAAATGGGTAGGATGGGGCAGGCAAGCACATTGCCTCACATAGTCACAAAGGGAGGGTTATTGTACCATCAGTTACAGTTGGAGAGACTTTCTAACTTTGGAGCATTGATCATGTTTAACTTAATTTGTTACAGGTGGAAGTGCTGGATCAGTGAATGCTAATTTTGCTCACTTTGATAACTTCCCCAAATCCTCCAGTGCTGATTTTGGATCCTTCAATGCTTCTCAGAGCAACGCCACAGCAACTGCAGCCAGTAAAGCTGCAGTGAATAAACTGAATCTTCAGTCAGCTGACAAATATGCAGCTCTTGCTAATTTAGATAATATCTTCAGTGCAGGGCAAGGTATTAAACTTTATTTTTTGCCATGGTTATTCTATATGTGTATAGTTACCACAAGGATGACTGTGCTTGTTGAAGTACTGTAACAGTATTTCAAAATTTCCCTTCTCTAAGTGATCTCTAGAATTTTGTGTCAATGTACCCTTAAATGTGCAAAATACGAGTTTTAAGACATTATTCCAAAATGATGCTTTTTGGGAACCTATTTCCCATTGAGATGAGTAGTTCAAAATTAAAATATCTAAATAATCATTACTTCAATAGTGAAAACATACAAAAATACAAATCTGTATTTTATATTTGTACTAAAATCTATAGTGGATGCTCTGGAATGAAGAGCTGCTGTTGTTGCAAAGAGCTACCAGAGCAGCTTTCTTACCTGTCTGCCACAAAAACAGCTGGCTTTAGTTTTTCATAAAATAGGAGCAGTGATATTTGGATTTAGTTGATAGTAAATTGAGGAGAAAAAGCTAGTTATTCTATTACTCAAATATAGTTCTTCTTGAATGGCGTGTTAAAAATTATGTTGATTTGTACTCCAGAGGTTAGTTCTGAAATGGATTATTTGAGGTTAGGTGTTCTGTTCATTTTCTAGTTGAAGATGAATGGATTATTTTTCTAGGAAAACAAAAGCTCTTTGAGGCTGCAGAGTACCTATAGAGGCAGGACATTCTGCTAACAGCTAATGCCTCGTTAAATACTTTTTCCTCTATGCCCTAGTGCATATTTAATCTTTAAGTCTGCAACCGTCTGTGAACTTTCATTTAGTTCTCAATGTCAGCAGGCAGAAATTGAAACCATCTCAGTGTGCTTAATCTTCTTGCTTTCTTTCTAGGTGGGAGTGAGCAGGGAAGTGGCTTCAGCACAGCAGTGTCCTCAGCAGGCCCTGCCTTGTCAGCCCCCAACCAGTCAAGTGCATCTTCGGACAAGTACGCGGCGCTGGCGGAGCTGGACAGCGTGTTCAGCTCCACGGCCACCTCCAGCAACGCGTACACGGCCACCAGTAACGTCAGCAGGTACGCTGCCCGCGCCCCGCGCTGCTGCTGCAGCAGCACAGAGCAGCTGGAAGTCCTTTCTCAAATCTGGTGTTCTTATCTGAACGGGGAAGCATTGAATGAATTTAGAGGTACTGCTGAAACTGTATCTCTTGTTTTCAATAATGGCAGGACTGAGGGATAGCATACTCTAAGAACGCTGTCCGTGGATTGTTCTCTGCACCTTTCTAGTCATGACATGCTAAACTTGTTAGTACTTTGCTCTGCAGAGTAGTTGTGTGCATACTCAAAATCATAGGATCATCCCTGAAAAAAGAATTCAGATATTTATAACGTATATGGTGCCACCCATTTCTTTTTCTGGATTGCTTAAGGAACAAATACCAAATGCCTGTTAGGGGCTTGGTATTGCAAGTGCCCCTAAGGCTTCTGCTAAGCAACCTTTATGCTGTTGGCCTTAGCTCTATCTTTCTTCTGCTGCTGTTGGTGGAGATGACATTTCATTGCTCAGCACTAGTGAGAATGTCTGACCCTGGCATCAGGGAGGTACTTTGCAGTCTGCAAACTGCACAAAAGTGTTCATCCCCTTTCTTTTACATGCCAGCAGTAACTGTAACTTGTATTTAATTATTAAACAAGCAATTCTGACTTCACTGAATGAATTGTATAAATTATTTCCAGCAATGCTTTTGGAACAGTACCTGTAGCTGCTACTGCACAGACACAGCCTGCATCTTCAAGTGTGCCTGCTCCATTTGGAGGTATGGAAGTATTACTACCACCCTTTGGGGACTGTAAGCAAACAATCTAGTAATTTTTACTTGATAATGCTCTGCTTTGATACTACTACTACTGAAGCTAATAAAGGTACTATTAACAAAAAAGTACCTCTGTCAAAATAACTGTATTTTTATTGTATCTTATACATTCCTGAGTTTTGGCCTAATTTTAGGCATTTATGTGTGTTTGTTTAAAGGCTGTATAGACTTCATGTGAGTCAGATTTGCTGTTAGAGAAACGCTTGCTTAATAAAATGTCTTTAATCTTTCAGCAACACCTTCCACAAATCCATTTGTAGCTGCCCCTGTTGCCCCAGTGGCACCTTCAACAAATCCATTCCAGACCAATAGCCGAGGAGCAACAGGTTAGAAAATAAATACTTTGAGTGTTTGAGAAACTTTCTTTAAAGAATTGCATTGATTCTTTTTTCCTGTGTCTGTGTAATATGTTTCTTAAAGATGTTCTGTATTATCTGTCCCTAGTCTATTTGAAGTGTCGTGTGTTTGCTCAGTGTTGAGGTGCAAGTCTAGGATTTCAGATGGTGGCAATGAAAAATGTCAAAATGATCTGTTTGAGCTCTACCTGTTTATAGTGTATGTATCACCAGCTGGCTTCCTTCCAAGACTGTAATCTTGGCTTTAGAGCATGCCTTATAAAAGGAAGCTCTGAAATCAAGGATTTTGAAAGCCCTTCTTGTTAATTTCTTTCTTTATTTTGAAGCGTGGAAAGCTCTCAAAACAAGAGCTGGAGTCAGAATCATCCCAAGGCTCTTGGGATGCTAGCTCCTCATCAGTCCACTTAATTACTACATTAGTGTCTCTTTTTTAAAGCGTATGTTTAATCTTTACACTTTTTTTTTTATATTAATTTTCTGTGGGATGGTTCTGTAGAATCTTAATTCTATGGGCAAAACTTCATCACTTTTGAAGAAAGCAAACTTCTTTAAAACTATGAACTTGGATTAGATGGCTACTAGGTTATGCTGATTTTCCTCCCCGGAGCAACTGCTAAATTTTGACACTTTTATCTGTTAGCTGGACTTCAACAGATTAAAATCTGCTGATGTGTGCATTTTGCCATTTGAGTTGTGGGTTGCTCAGTGATTTAGGTAGGCTGAGTTAAAAACTGATTTGATAAATTTGTGTCCTCTGTTGAAATTATTTCTGTTTTCAATTCCTTTTGAGATATTATGCGGGTAAATTTGTTAGCTATTGTTAGATATTTAATGCCCAAAATACCCTTTGTCTTTATTTTAATCCCATTTCTAAATGGGCTAGTTTAGATCATCATTAAGAATTTGTAGCCTCTTTAGATAAATTTCTTTGAATGTGGCACCTATGTCCTTCCACCTTCTATACAGCTGTCCCTGGCTTGCTGAGGTTCCAAGCCTTTGGCAGCATCCTGATGTTCCACAGTAGGTGACAGAGATAATGTGTATAAGTAAAGATAATGTTCAGCCCCTTTCAGTGTAAGGTGTAAACTTACGGATTGTGCTTTTGTGTTCTTCCTGCATGAACTTTGTTATTTAGTACATGGGAGATCTGCTTTGTAGAGCTTATGTCTGATGGTTTTCTAATACTAATCTATTGCTGGTCATGCTGTTGATGAACTGTTTGGTACATATATGTGTATCTATTTCTCTCTCTCTATATATATATAAAACTAAGAAATGACTGTTCAAGAGTGTATAAATGATTTGACATTGTCTGGTCTCTTTGTGGCTTCCATAAGGCCTCTCGGGAGCAATGCACTCTCACATATTTCCTCAGGCTCATTTTGGTAGGTGGCCACATTTGGTATCAAGTTTCTTGTGGCTAATTGTTCTTGCTTGTAAAAGCTTATTGACAGCTATCTGGTTCTCTGCACAAAGAATTGTGGAAGACTTCTTAAAAATGGAGTGGGTGTGGGTATTTGGCAGCTGGGCAGAGGGAGAGAAGAGCATACATAGACATCCTGTCGAGCAACCAAAACAAAACCATTATTGGTATCATCCATGGTCACCATATAGTGCTTATGAATGACTGTTGAAGTTTATGCCAACAGTAGTTTGATGCCTTTTGGGATATCCCAAGTCCCCTGCTGATTTTGTTGTGCTTCGTTTTGCTGTTTTAGCCAAGTTTGCTGTGGAGTAGCTGCTCTGCTCACTGTAACTTGAGAACGGTGTTAGTACCTTAGTTTTGCGTGCACTTGTCTACATTTTGTCTGTATAATGTCTTGCACTTGAATGCTTTTGGGGTAAATACTTCAACTGATAATTAAGCTGTATTAAATTTATTTTATTAGCTTTTTTAAACATAGAGCTTGCATAAAATGTAGCTTGTAACATGTCAAAAGAGAAGTCCTGTTTAACTGGCATAGAATACCTGGTGTCTGTATTTGTACCAAAAACCTTCCTATACACTTCTCTTTTCAAGAATAACTCCCAAAAGACTGAATAATGGTTTTGTTACTATACTTTTGCACCTCATGTGCTCCTGTTTATTTGGTGAAGGCATGGGGAAATGCTTATGAGCTTGTGTGTTCTTTACTTGAAATATTCAGCAGAGAATCAGATGAAAAGTTTTGGTCTTTTTTTGTTTTAAGTTCTACCTCAACAGTAAGAGGGTTTGCAACAGAAACTTTGTGTGCAAATAATGTGCATGGTGAGAATCTCCTTAAAGACATTAAAGATGGGATGATAAAATGGGATGCATGTATCCCTTTGTATTTTGTTTTATTTTTTTAATTTATAACCTCCTGTAGTGCAGCTTGAAATAGGAAAATCCTTTCATGCTTTTCTCAGAAGGAGAAAAACAGAGGGGCTTAGGCTGCCTGAACCTGCTTGCTTCTTATGTGTACAGACTTCTACCAGAAAAAGTGTGGGGGAAATATATGATAACACTGAGAACAAAAAATAATTTCCTCTTCAGAAAGTATATCTGAATGTGCTGGATCTACTAAATTTTAAATAACACCATTCATTTTTAAAGTGTAAAGGCAAATTGTGCACCCACTTGGTGGTGATGGAAGGGAACAAATCAGTTCAGTGGCTGTGGAAGTTGAATCAAACTTTCATCCAGTCACAGAGGGCATCAGAAGACTTTTAACATGGTCTTATAGCAATCAGTTTCATGGAAAAAAAAAAAAAAAAAAAGATTTCTTACAAATAATTGCATGTTATTTTTTGCCTACTAGCAGCAACATTTGGTACTGCATCCATGAGCATGCCGGCAGGATTTGGAACTCCTGCCTCCTACAGTCTTCCTACTAGTTATAGTGGCAACTTCCAGCAGCCCACGTTCCCAACCCAGGCAGCTTTCCCTCAACAGACTGCTTTTGCTCAGCAGCCAAATGGTAGGTCTGCATATTTTAGATAACCTTGTCTAAATCAGAAACATGGAGAAAATGGTCTGTCTATAAGTTGGCAATAACGGGAGGATATTTATTTCTGCATGAACTTGATAGTAATGTTGATGAAAGGTTCCCACACTGTTCTGGCACTGTAGATGAGTCTTCTGACGTGGCTGGGTGCAATTGTGTAATTACCAAACTGAAATTATACCAAAATCTCATACTGAAATGGTAAGTGTTCCCAGGCTTTAAAGGGGTTTTAGGTAAGAAGGGCTGTTTGGGGATGTCTGCAGCACGCTATTACACTTTCTCTAGCTTCATAGAACGCAAGCAAGAGAAAATTGGAAACTATTTTCTCCCTGAATTTATATGGTATAACATTGAAGAAAGCATATATGTAGAAATTGGAGATTGATGAGTTGTGAACAGTTGAAAACAAACAAAAAGCCCAGCCACAGTGTTTTACACTTACATTCCTGATTGTGTTTAAGTAGGATCAGTCCTGCTGATTCTGCAGTTCAAACTTACTCTTAATTTTGGCTGGGAGCTGCAGTAAAGAACTCTTTGAACATTGTTTACTAGTATATAATATTTTTTTTTCCTTTTCTTTCCAAGGAGCAGGTTTTGCTACATTTGGGCAAGCAAAGCCTGTAGTAACTCCTTTTGGACAAGTTGCAGCTGTTGGAGTATCTAGTAACCCTTTTATGGTGAGTTGTTGCATGTCAGTGACTTCTGTATGTCCAAAGAAGAATAGTCTGTAACACTTAATTTAGAGATACACAAAGATTAGGGGGTTTCTTGCTTTTAATAAGGGAAGGAAGCATGTGACTGTCCTCACTGCCGCTCACTATTCAGATGATATGCCATTTGTAAGGATGGTCAGATCAAAGCAGAGGTACATTCACACATGTTCCCAGAGTAGTGTAATTCCAGAGAAGCAGCAAAAAGCAGATTGCAATATAAAACAGAAGTATTCCCCAGTAGGTTTTTTTAAATATATTCTGATTTATGATTTACAATGGGAAAAAAATCCTAAATACTTGCCTTATTTTTCTTTGTTCCTTTTCCCCCAGGCTGGTGCACCAACAGGACAATTTCCAACAGGAAGCTCATCAACCAATCCTTTCTTATAGCCTTATAGACACTTTACCCAAAAGAACTCTTATGTGGTCACATAACATCTCTGCGCCTCTTGCACTGTTGTCTTGTTTCACTGATATTAGCTTTAAACACAAAAGAAGTCTTTAAGAAGTAAAAATAAAAGCCTGCATTGTGTACCTTTAAAAAGTTTCAAAAAGAAAAAAAAAAAACCACCCGACACAAAAAACAAGAAAACCAACCCCCCACCAGGTAATAACGTGCAAAACAGAGGGCTGTGGTAACATCCTTGAACCTGTGAAGTGGCAGGTAAAAAGTAGCGGTATCATGTGTATTAAAATTGGCTAATAAGTTATTGCAGATACCACATTCATTATGCTGCAGTACTGTACATATTTTTCTTAGAAAATAGCTATTTGTGCATATCAGTATTTGTAACTTTAACACATTGTTATGTGAAAAATGTTACTGGGGAATAGATCAGCCACTTTAAGGTGCTGTTGTATCTCTTGGAATGAATGAGCTGCATCATTTTAACCATTGGTATTGGAAGTCACAAAGTTAAATTGAAGGTTTGTTCATTTCTCAAAATGTTTTCCTTTCCTAAGAGCTCTTCTATTTATACATGCCTAAATCTCTAATGTTAGAGGGATACCTGTCTGCATAATAAAGCTGATCATGTTTTGCTACAGTTTGCAGGTGAAAAAATAAATATTAGAAAAAAAAACCTGTGTAGCATTATTTCTGTGCAGTAACATTCATTGATGAAAATGTACACACTGTGTCTTGTACACAGATGAGGTGTCCAAACCAATGTGTTTAAAGGTGAGCTAAGCTTAAAATTTTCACATACCTCACTTGGATGTGTTTCTTTTTGTCCTTGTGATGAAGCTCGCTGTTCTAGCTCAAGTGAAGTGACCTGTCACACAGAGTGTTAGGTGAGGTTTGGATTGTTTGGATAGAGTATGTCATGAGGGACACTGGAAGCACTGTGAAGTGTAGTTATTGGAGAGAAGGTTTGCAGCAAAAGACACCTTGTTATGGGTAACTACTGACAGGCTCTGAACAAACCTTAGTTGTATTCTGAACAGAGTGTGTAACAGCAGGCCAAGGGATCGCAGATGTAATAGCCCTTTCTTTATTAAAAATTGATACATATCAGTAAGAGCTCCTGTGAAATATTTTTTTTTTAATTTACAGAAATATTTCCTGCCATACTACAGTGAAATTTGTAGAGGGAAAATGTCTGGCTTGTCTTTCTCTGTAACAGTGATAAGGTTCAAGAAAAATATAACTGCATCAAAGTAGTTGGTGTTTTAAACAGAGATAATTTGGCTACAGTTCAAGTGTAATACTGGAACTAAGCAAATAATGTAAGTATGTTGTGAATACATAAACTACAAGCTTAAAGGTTTCTGACCAGCTGGAGAATAAAATTCTAACAGCTTTCAGGATAATAGGAATAAATAAAGTGAGATTGACCTTTTTTAAAAAGGACATGCAAGTAAGTCCATTTGAGATAAACACGAAAATTCAAGGTGAGACATTTCACTTGCAATTGACTGTCTGAATGTTGGCTAGGTTTTTCTAGGGCATTTGAAAGGTTTGACCTCTGCTTGTAAAAACATTTATGTTAATGCTTTTGACTTTTGTTGCCTGCCTATGGGGGTTGTGATTTCTTTTTGTTTGTGTTTGTTTTTTAAACTTTGGAGATACCGAGCAGGAGATAGGCAGCTCATAAAACATGCTGGAAGTTTTCCATACTTAAATGTCTGGTTTTGTCCTGTTGGTATATTTAAAACAGGCTTGAAGGCTCTCTTTTGTTTCTGATGGAGGCTCCTCAACAGAGTGTGGCGTTCAGTTCAGTTCCCAACATTCTCTGGGGAATTCAGTGAAGAAATCCCAGCAACTGGAGGTTTGCAGAGTATTAGTGACACCCTTACTCTCACCACTGTATTTTAGCACAGTGTAAATAGTTGTAACTCTCCCTGTTCCCCAGCCTTGGCTTTGGATAGTAAGAGCAAAGATAGAAAATGCAGTGGAGAGTGGGGAACTGCAAGGGTTCAGTAGGCTTGTGGAATACTTAAAACTGCTGAGTGCAGAGAACTGGATCAAATCAAAGAGATGTCATGTCAATGAGATGAAAAGTGTTATGAAAGAGCAACAGTTCTGTGCCCTCTTCACTTACTGTGGTGTAAATTAGGCTTTGGGCAAGGGCTAATGAAATCAGCATCTATAGAGATTGTTCTGATCCAAATATTACTGCTGAAATTCTGAAACTGATTGAAGTATGCAAGGCATGTAGCTTAGAATGTGCTGTCAAAGTAGTGGAATACTTTAGTTTTCATTACTGAATTAACTGCAGATAAAAAGTTTGCTACTTTCAACTATACACAAGCACACCTCTTTAGTCTGTGTTCATGGATTTTAGCTTTGTCAATTTCCAGTTAAGCTGAAGATCTTGCATTGTTTTGAGTCTTCTGTATATTGAGCATAAACTGACACCAGATTAGGTTTTAAAATAGCTTTATTTACAAAATGATGCATCTCACCCCTGATTTTAAATGTTTTTATCCTGGAAATCTCTGCAGTTGTTCCCTCAATTGTTCATGCAAATAGCATACCTGCCTAAAAGCTGTATTTTTATGCTTTAGCATCAAAGCACTTCACTTGATAACTTTAAGCCCCTTATACAGAAATTAATATGGAGACCTCCTAGATTAAACTTCAGTCCTAAACATCAGCTGTTACAAGTGTGAGAAGATGTTACACTTGCAGGACCATCCTGAGTTCTGTAAGATGCGATGTCCAGTTGAAAAAGTTTTAAGATGTCCAAAGGCCTCTGTGAATTTTCTGACAGGTCATTGTATGGTTCAGCTGCTTTAGATTCCCTGGGCATGTCTGTCTTGTGTCAGTAAATAAATTGCCTTAAATTGAAATACTCAGTAGAAGGGAAAGTCCCAAGGTTGTTCTGTGAGTTCCTTTGGTGTGAGGTTCAGGCATTTGTATGTCCTTGTGCTCACCAAGCCTTAATAGAAGTTTGTATGTCAGATCACTAAACTTGAATTAGAAGACTGTTTGAGGAATGTTTGTATTAAACTGCTGGTGAAGAAAATGGAGCAAATGCATCATCCTGTTGACAAAGCTCTCTGTGCAGTAGGCTCATAAATGGCTTGCTTCAACCTGGACCAGATTTGCTTGATTGAACATTATATTTCTCCTGATTTGTTGTCCAGGTGATGGAGCCTTCTGCATTGTTGCTTGTAACCATTGCTTTTGTCTCGGTTGTTAAGGGGCAGTGCTTTCAGCAGCCGCCCTTGTATTTCTGCACTTGATGGAAATTATGGTGTACATGCTTCTGATCAGGAAAATTCCAGTTATGACTGTGAAGTAGCTGCCATAAATGAGAAACTGGGAAATGGAGGTGGGGAAGGAGAAAAGTAGTTATCTAAGAGGAAAAACAGTTTTTTACTCTAAGCGGTGTCTCTCCATTGCTGCCTTCCCTTCTCTGTCACCTGTGCCCAGAATGACCCCATCTTGAGAGGATTCAACAAGTCTGGACTGCTTGACTTTACACTATAGAAATTCTGTTGTTGTAGAAGGGGGAGACAATGTTCTGATATGTCCTTCCCCACCTCAGTAAGGGAGGACAGCTGTCTTGCACTTCGTCTCTTCTCTGGAAACATGAAACCTAGAGTCTTAGACTCATTCAGTGTCTCAGTTTAAACCAATTTTAGAAATTTAATGGGGAATTGCAATGAGTTAATTTTCAGAATTACAGTAACTTTAAAGGTGCATCCACTGGAACTATGTAACTTAGAATTACCCTAGTAATACACCCATAGGTTGTATTTCATCTGGCTTCCTGCTTCTGGTTAGGGTATTTTGACTATAAACTTCTGAATACTAAGTCTTTGAATTAAAGAATACCCAGAGTAATAGGTGGTCACCTTTCCCCTCTGTTCTGTGAACATAGAATATTTCCAGTCATCCCAATATTGGGAGGCCTAGAGAACAAGCAGGTTGAGGTAGTTCAAGCCAGTTCATTTTAAACGAGTCTTTTTCCAGGTGAGTAACTGAGCTTGCACATTACCACAGGCTAATCTTGGAGTAGAACCTGCTTTTGGAGGAGAGTAGGGGAACTAAGCAGTGGGACTCAGTGGCTTACCTGAGTGCTGATATCCAGTCCCAGACCTCTTGAATCTACTACAACAACAGTTAAAATCGTCTGAATCACCAGTGCAACAAAGTTGTTGAGGCCAAACATCAAAGCATAACGCTCCATGCTGAGGTTGACAGCAATCTGAAACCTGACAATGAATGCACAGGTTCACAAAACCGTGGAGAGCAAGGACGGGTGGATGAACTTATAGGAACAGTTTAATGGGCACAGTGCACTCATCAAAGGACAAGATCATTTCAATCTTGGCTATTAAGCTTTATCAGCTTCATTTTGACAGAAATTTATTGGTTTTTTTCTGGCTTTGTGACTTTTGTGCATCTTATTTACCCTTGAGTGAATATTTTTGCTAAATACCTGTGTATATTCACTGGATCACTTTGAGAATGCTCATGCATTGGTAATTGAATTACCAAGTGCAGAAGGCACCTTGTTCTGACTTGGAGTGTGCTATGGTAATGGTTAGATCATATAATTTTACCTAGTTTTACACAGGCTAGAAACAATATATGCTGCTGTCATAACCTATTTGTATTTATATGTAGGGAAATGCCCAGTAAAATTTTGATAAATATAAAAATTTGACAGTGATTTAAATCAATTTAATTAGAACAGTTGTGTGTTGTACTTACGTTGCTATTGTTATAAGGAGCATATAGCAAGCTTTAAATGCAAGGTAACCAGCATAACATGCCCAGATGTTGTCAGTGAAGTGCATAAGAAGCAGAGAACCAGCATCCAGTGCAGAGAAAATTCCCAAAGCCAATTCTCCAGAGAGATCCCAGTTGACTTTAACATATCCAACTGCCATGGATGTTGCTGAACCTAAAAATTGAAAAGTAGTAATTAAAACTTTGAAATATTATCATTGAGAGCCATTGCATAACTGTCATTGGATCATGCCAGGAGCTCTTTGGTCTTGCTCGCAGTGGACTTTGGTAATGGTATGGATCATATTTCTTGTTAGGGGTGTGGGAGTCTTCCATTATTTTGGATGTTTTCCTCTTTGCTTAGACCCTTCAGTGCCTGAAGTGCTCTGGGAAAGTGCCTCATGCCTAAGGCTGGAGGCAGCAGTGCACAATCTATTGTTTCTCCATTTTTAGACAACTATGGGCAAAGAGAACAATTCTACCAAGCATTTTCTGCCAAAATATGTATAATGAGTTGAGTTGCTTCATATGAAGTTCTTTATAGAAAGAAAATCTTAGCACTTCATGCTTTTTTTTTTTTAATGGAAGTGTATTTTCAGTTTCTGGTGAAAAGCCTTAGGAAACTGCATTTGTCAATGTCTTAGTGGCCATCACATGTAGCAAAACCCTTACTTGAGTCTATTACGGTGTAGCAAATCCCATGTTCTCAGGTGGGCTAGCACAAAAACTGGATTTTGTTTGCTGGTTCTATGTTCTGTTCATCAGAATTCCAAAAATTGGAGCAAACCAACCCCTTTGGTCCATCCCTGCCATGAGCAGTGGTTCCCAGTGCTTTGAGTGCCTTCTTTCTGTACTCTGAAATTGTGTCAAGTGCCAGAGGGTGTAAGTGTAAGACTTTGGGAACACTACTCAGAGCAGTAGTTAGAAGTTTTAGAGTAGCTTCAGTAAAATGGATTTTCATGCTGATTGCAAGGAGGAGAAGAAACCTGACAATTCCCTGTAGCAGTGTGGGATAGAGCTCTGGGAATGTAGGGGGAGACAGTTGTGAAAATGAGAGCTCCAAAAGGAGGCTGTATTGGTGCTGCACAGCTAAGTAAATGAAGTTTCACTTTACCCATATCCTTCTCTTCTCTGGCTAAAGAGAAATGGAATTTGGGTGGACCAAGTAACTGAGAGGTAGAATGGCTGAGGTTGGAAGAGAGATGGAGGTCACATGGCTTATTAAAAGCTGAATCAGCTAAAGGAAGCTGCTCAGGATGGTGCCTAGGTTTTGACTAGGATGAAGTCCACACCTCTGGCCAACCTGTTCCTGTTTAAAATCACCCTTGGAATAAAATGTTCCTCTGTGTTTAAGTGGAACTTGGCTTGATTTTGTGCCCCTTGACTCTTGCCCTGTCACTGGGCACCACTGGGAAGAGCCTGGTTCCATCTTTGCTCCTCCCTTTCAAATCTCTATGCACATTAATAAGATTCCTTGTTTTTCAAGGGTAAACAATTACAGTGCTCTCAGCCTTGTCACATCACAGAAATGGTTTCATAAAATATTCTAACTTGGAAGGGACCCACAAGGATCATCAAGTCAAACTCTGAAGTGAATGGCCCATACAGGGGTTGAACACACAACCTTTGTTCTGGCAAACATGCCAATCAGGACATAGATGTAGTCACAGAATATTTGTTGAGGAGCACTTAGACTGGAATGATTTTTAATCCAGTATCTAAACAGACAATTTCACAGTATGCTCTGAGTAGTATTTAGAGCAGTGTATCTGCTGACATGTTCTTTTATTCTTAAACCAGTCAGCTTAAGGTGTATTTGAGAGAGGAGTATGCAAGATATCATTGCACAGGGTTCTGATGTGCTTATTTCAGGTTAAAGACATGGTCTAAACAAAGCTTATACTTAAAACTCTTAAAATATTTTGGCAGAATGAGTCTTCTCTAAGAAGGAAAAGCTTATTTATATATGTTTTTTGAGACTAATTTTGAAGTGCTCACTGTAAAAGTTTATAGTAAAATCATGCTTTGCACACTGTTTATCTCTGTCTGTTCGTTTTAGTCCTCACAGGAGATGGAAAGGCACGAAACACATGGCTGAAGAGTCCCTCAGCACAGGATGGGTTACAAGTACCTGCTAATGATTGCTTACCCAAAAAAGTTGCTATTGCTTCGACAGCTCCGTTGTACACTGCGGAGCTGTGCGAGGGGGCCCGGAAGTCCCACAGCACCTGGACATAATTCACCACCTGGTTAAAGCCGGCCGTGGCCAGAGCCCACCACAGGGACCAGTAGAGGAGCTGGCGGGAGCCGTAGCAATCCCTCAGGTCCCTGCCCAGCTGCAGCAGCACGCTCAGCGTGTGCCTGAGGGGCCCGGCATTGCCAGCCTGGGGCTGGGGGCGCGGGGCCCTGGCAGCAGGATCAGGGCTCCTTTCCTCTTGGCAGCTCGAGGGCCTGCGGGCAGCGCTCACAGCCAGCCCTTTGGCAGGCCCTGGCACAGGCCCAGGGGCATCTTTCCTGTGGAAGAACATGCTCCTCTGGGGCATGGGCAGGAAGAAGGCGCACAGGAACGCCAGGGACACGGAAGCCAAGCTGATGGCGTTGAGGTAGAAGTAGGACACATCTGCCAAGGACACCAGCAGCTGCCCCAGCACGGCGGCCACGGTGGCTGCCACCAGAGTGACGCTCCTGCAGTAGCTGGTGACCCTCTGGTAGTGTTGGGTGCTGACCACGCTGTAGATGTAGGCGTAATAGGCCACCTCGGTGGCTGTGACCATGCCGTAGAAGAATTCCACCAGCTGCATGGCCAGCACTCCATGTGCAAAGAGCAGCAGGAGCCACGTGACGATGAGGCTGATGCCCTGCAGGAGGAGGACGGGCTTGTAGCGCACGTAGTCTGTGAGCAGGAACACTGGGAAAAGGAGAGCGAGGTAGGAGTATGTCCACACTGGCAGAATCTGGTTGGTAACCTAGAACGCAATAAGAGAGGAAATGTTAAACAAACAAAACAGCCTCAATCCCGCATATGTTTAAAATACCCTTTTGGATGATTTTTGATGGTGTTACTGCTGAAACAACATAGTTGTGATATGAAACATTGAAATATGTGAACAGTGCAGGCTTAAACTGCTTTAAGTTACACAACTGTGAGTTCACTATGTAAGGACTAAAGACAATGATGCTATGCTCCACTAAAGAAGCAGATAGATTGACTTAAAAAGTAATTCCAGGAAAGGCCTATGAAGAAGGCAGGTTTTGATGTGCAGCTGTTTAAAGCAATTGTAACTTTGTGTCTGATGTAAATCTCTCTAGTTTCAAATCCTATTCCCTCCAGTATCTGAAAATGAGGCCTGTTTTCGCTGAATATGAGTCATTGTATACCTTTGGTCACGTCTTTCCCTTGTTAGGTATGTTTAAAAAAAAAAGCATGTGCCTCTTACAAAGGGGAACTGGAACTGCACAGAGTGTGTAGCTGCTACTAGGGTACTGCATCTTCTATGGTTTTCTCTGATTTCAAGTGTAAGTAAGGAAATCTTTCAGTAAGTTTAAGTTGGACTTCAATACAGAGACACCCTGTGAAGAAATTATTTCTCTTGTTTCTAAAACTGTTCTGAATTTGGGTTGGAAGGTGCTGTTTGTGGTTGCCACTAAAGCTCAATGCTTGCCTGGGCAGTTAGGGTACACCTGGGACAGGTATCCCTCTTTTAGAGGGAGGTTTTGGGGAGGTCAAACCCAGTAACTGTGGAGCCTGCTGAGGTATCTATTCCTGATCTCTTGTTCTCTGCTTACACAATTAAACTAGATCTGTATCAAATGCTGGAGGAATGCTTTTTACTTCTGAACAGGTACTGGAGTGAGTTGCATGGTGAGCAGCAGGTTCACTGTATCTTTCTGTGTGATTTCTTTTGTTTCTCTTGAGCTTAGAATTACCTCAAGGAATTAACTCACTGGAGGGGAGTTTGGCTGAAAGAGACAGTATCTGTACTGTGCTTGATTTTGAGTTAAGGATTCTTGCTGAAATCAGAATTAAGGCATTCTGTGATGCTATTTGTGTGATTTATATAAGAAATAATGTTTTCCCTTGTGGTTAAAAACAAATAAATTAAAAGGGAGTAGAAAAAAAACTCCCTGACAACCTAAACCACAAATACCTTTTTTCAGCAGAAACCTTGGGTTCGCAGTGTGCTGGTAGATTATGCCTTAACATTTGCTACTGCACATCAGGAATGACTGTTCTTCATATTAGCTGCATGTGGGTGTAGCAAGCCTGTGTTTTCTAATTATACCGTTAGCTCCATGACTCAGCCACGTGTTAACCATGTCCCCTTTTGTTGGGAGGTGTACTCCTGAAGCAGCCAGTGCTGAGCACAGCACATAGCAAGGAAACTTGGAGTGCGTGTTTTTGTCAAAAACCCCCAATTTTTCTGAATGTGAACTTAACCTCCACAGGTTAATGAATGCATGAAATATAGGGAATATAGGAAATAAGCTTACAACTCATAAGGGGAAGGCTGCTTAGCTGGGAAGGCTGCTTAGCTTTCTTGTGTTTTGAAATCAATTCTGTCAGTGTAATCAATTCCATGGAAAGTATATATGTCTCCTCTGGGGTGGAGAGAGGAACTGGCTGACCTGATTTTGCCAAAAATATCAACCACCAAAAGGGATTCAAAGTCCTAAGGATGTAGGGACTTTAAAGTTTGGACCTCCTGCCAAAGAGGTGACTCCTGACTCTTTTCCAGAAGCATCTTAGATATGGGTCTTTAGATAAAATATTCACACTTCATCTTCCTTTCAGTTACTGCTGTAAGGCCTAATGCTTTAAGCATTTTAGTTACTGCTTTAGAGAATAGTTACATACCTCTTCAGTTGTTAGGTTTTTGTCTGGTCCTGTTAGATAGGGGGTGAGAAAAGATTCTGATGGCCTCATTGTGGTGAAAAATCCATTTGCGCAGATGATCATCGTGGGATAAATCCAGCTGTGGCTTATGGCTTCCTTCCAGCAATCCATAATTTACCTAAAAAAAAAAAAAAAAACGTGGCAAAGGAAGAATAGATGCTCTTCACAGTTGGTAAAAATTAATTTTCAAGTTTACTTTTTAACTAAACCTGCACTCACTCCCCTGAATCCATAACCACCAGTGAGGGCGCTGTGGTGGTGGCATCCAGTGTAACTGGACTTAGAGGGACTGGTGGCAGTGTGACAGCCAAGGGCTGCCTGCAGCGGTGACTCAGATGTCAGGTTGGTGTGCAGATGTAACCAAACCACTGAGCTCAAGCTCTCCTGCACTGAGCTGCATGCCTGGATCTCCTCTTAGGCAGGGACACCTCTGGCAGTTACTCCTGAGGCTGAGATTCTTTGCTGCAACACATTCTTGGTAAGTGACTAACAGTGTGCTCAGCCTCAAAACGTTGGCTAAGTCATATAAAGAATTTATTGCACGTATTGCACAATCCTTTAGATGGAAGCAGTTGACCAAATCTGGGACTAGGAGTTGGTCTAAGCTGCACCCAGGCTCCTCTCTGAGAGGAGTTTAGAACCCAGTGACTTACTGACAGTTTTGCCTGATCTTGCCATCTCTGCACTAAGTCAAGCACACTTTCCGGTTGAGTCTTGTTAAAGCACTGTCACGTTTACCACTGAACTTTGTTATACTGATAAAGGGCATTGTTGCTTCTGTCTTGTGAGTGAAGTGCATGGCTCCAGCTGTGCTACGTGCCTAAGCCAATGTTCCCCTCACTGAACCTGCCTGGCATCACAGCTGCAGCTTGGAAATGAGCAACTTGGAAATGAGCAAAAAGAATCAAGGTGCATCAGCCCTGGTAAACTCTTTGTTGTCTGTCAAAGGATGTTCGTAGTGACGTGCTTAGGGCTGAGTGGCTGTGCTGTAGCAGGAGACTAAAGTTCCATTATAGTCTCATTTCTGAATAAATGAGTGGGCAAAGTGTAAGATCAAAGCTCGTTCTGTGTGCTCAAGGAGTTTTTTTTTCCTGTTGATTTGCAAATCTGTTTGATTTTTTTGTTGATTTTATTGATTGTTTTGATTTGATACAATGACCATGCAAACGTTCTCGATGGCAATAAAAGCCATCAGGCAGCTCAACCCATTGTGACCTCAGTTTCTTCAAAATGCTTTAACACTCACCATGTTTCTTGCACTCCAGTCATTAGAGAGGGTAAAGAAAGATCCAGAAACTATCTGCTCATGGCACCTGCTCAGACTTAGAATAGAGAACCATTGACTTCCTTTTGGTCATCACTTTCAAAAGTGAAAAGGAGGCTTATTTCTTCAGTGTAGTTGGCAGCAAAAAGAAGTCTAGAAAGATTTGGTTTTTTAAGTTTATTTTACTTCTTTTGTGTTAAAAAGTCAATTTTACTGATCCTGAAAATAAGTGAAACTGTTTTCAATCATAAGCAAATGAAAGCAAAGCACTAGCTGATGTTTAATCATGCTGCTACAAGCTGTGTATCTTAAATTGCTGAATTCCACTCTATAGCAGGCACTTCTGAAAAAGTGCTTTTGCTTGCACTGTGAGATGATATAAATTAAAACTTAGTATAAATAGTATCTTATAAAAACAATATTTCTGGACCCTCAGAGGAATGTTAGAAAAAGCAACCCTAACCTTGTAACTTGATTTTTAAAAATTGCCTCTTGTCATTTTTCTCTTACAAATAATTGTAAATAAAATATAGTCTCCAGTATCTTTAACTCAAGACCTTATTTGAAATGTGATAAAAATATAAAAATTAAGCCCTGGGCTGATCAGTAACATCTGCATAAATCTTGCATCACCTCCAAATGCACTGAGCGAGTAGCCAGCACACTCCCAAATAACTGCAACGCTGATGAATTACCTGTCAAGGCTCTGGCTGTGGTGCATTTCCTGTGGATTCAGGTGCAGTTCCTAGGATGACTTTGTCTTGCAGAGAAGTCAGAAACCACCCTTTAGAGCTTGTGGTAATCAGAAATTTCTGTAACTTTTTTTCCAAAAAGTTATTTCTAAACTTGATAAAATATCAGAATTTAAATAATAATAATAACAACTTGTCATAGCTGTTCTTTCTTGCAGAACTTGTTCATGAAGTTTGCAGGGAAAGTGTTCTTTGTGGGTTTTCTCAGCAAACTGAGTTCTATTTTTAAGATAAAACTGTAAGACTTAGTGTAGCTAATGATTAATAAAACCTGTTGTGACAAGAAAGCAATGATTGCATTCTTTCTGTTAATAAATACCTTTAAAAGCCCTGGTATTTGATTCATGGAAAAGGCAGATAACCAGTTTTACAATTTGGGCTAATAGTGTACTTGTTCCATGCAAGCGCAGAGGCCTCTGGGCTCGTGGGGTCTGCTCTGACTGTCCTGGCTGTGCTGGAGCTTTGGGAGGTAGGACAGCACATGCTTCCTACTATTAGTTGGCCAGGAATTACTTCTGTATAGGGACAGATCTGTCATTTAAGGACAAAGGGACGGAATTCAACTGCTAAATCTAGGTTCTTAGCTAAAAAATTAACAGTCTTGTTTCAGAGAAATGCTGCTTTGCTTTCCTTTACCCATTTTTTTTTAGACTGTACTGCCTGCATCTTCCAAGGTTCATCGAGGCTGGAGTTCACCCTGAAGCCTGTTGGTAGGACGTGTGTTGACCCTGGGAGCAGAAGCTGAGCCCTGGCAGGAGGGGCCTTTTGGGAGCTCGACAGCCTGGTCTGGTCCTGCAGGTACGGGAGGTGCAACCAGGCAGGAAGTGCTCAGGGGAGCTGGGCCTCCTCTGCCCTTCATCCTCCTCCCTGGCCAAGGGCGTCGAGGCAGGGAAAGGACCTTGGGAAGGGAAGGTGCTGCTGGGCAGGGGCTGAAAGGGCTGCTGGCTCATGTTTCTCTGGTAGCCCACACAGTGCTTGGGTAGTACCTGCATGTTTTGAATACAAACACACTATTTGTTCCTTCCTTGTTTGCTCAAACTGGCCTTACCAGCTTGTTGGACTGTATCTTCATGGAAGATTTGTGCCCAAACCCACTAATGTTTCAAAAGTAATTAGTGGTGTATTTAGAGGGGGTTGCAGCTATGGGGAGAAGTGTGCCCAGCTCTGGAGTTCCATGTTTGCATGGAAACCTTTAACACACTGGAAGACAAGCAATACTACAAGCTGCTAGGAGAGGTGGATGTGTTGAGTATTTCCTTTTCCTGCAGAACTAGACAGCCTGTGGTTCCAGCCTTCCTTGTAACCTACCAAGTCTCAGCTATCTCCTCTCCAGTGTGTGTGTGTGTGTGTGCAGGCACACAAACACACAGGTTCATGTGTATATCTTACTCTTTTAGAAACCTCTGACTGCTGGGTGAGTTCTGATTTGCAGCTGAAAACCCAGGATAACATAAGACCTTGTCTTTCTCCTCCTAACATTGCTAAGAGCTGCCTTCTTCCTCCCCCATTTCCCCCATAATGCTTCCTGCCAGCTTCCAATCTCAGAATCATTATTTTGGAGATTAGAGAGAATACAAATGTATTCTTTTTTCTTTAAAGTCTTATATGTTTTCTGAAGATGGTTTTCTCTAAAGCTGCAAGCCAAATACACTGTGTCTGCTTGGTTCCTTTGCTCCTCAGTGGCATCCTACAGACACAGAGAGCAGTTAGCTCTACCCAGAACATAAGAATGTAGCTGAAAATATGAAGTATGAAGTTCCTCTTTTTAATTTAAACACAAGCTCTTGTTAAATTCTAGTCTGGGACTGGCATCTAGTTCTAAACTGAATGCCTCAAAAGAAGATTGCTGCTCACAAGGGAGAATAGAAAAATAGTCCTTACTGTCCTGGATTCTGTCCCTGTTTCTTCAGGCAGGACCATCATGCCCTCAGTTCTGCAGTAAGAACAGAAGTCTCACTGGAGACTAAGTACATCTCCTACTCTTATGACTGCATTGGTTAAACTGTTCTGCTTAGAGCCAGTTTACAACAGACAATGTCCCCACAATGCACAGTAGTAAACAAAAGGCCAAAAAAATTAGCCAGGTTCATTTTGTCAGAGCCTACTGATTCTTGTGACTTGAAACACATTGCTTCTGTCCTGCCTGCCCTTGCCTCTGGGCACTTTGTCTAGTTGCAGTTGTGACAGTGGTATGAAAAGCTGGTATGTCTGTAAAAATGTTGGCTTGTGTCTCTACAGGAAAAATATTCTGTAAATGCTAAGTGGTTTTTATTAGTTAGATGTAGTTATTGGAAGCTAGAAGCAAACAGCAGTACGGAAATAACTTCAGCATATGGATATAGTTCATATTAAATTAGACATTCACTATGCAAACTCATTTCTAATCTCTTTTTTCTTCTCCTGGACTGTCTTTTGGACAAAATTAGCTGTAGGACTTGGAGTTTCTTGACAAACTGAGTTTGGCTGATCCTGCCAAATTCTTGGCCAAGATCTGTGGACCTCCCTCACTTGGCACTCAAAAGCACACATGATGCTTCCTGTTTGTTTCGGTTATAAATCTTCTTGGATATTCCTTTTAATCTGGAATTTTCCTCTGTGGAATCAGCTAAATTTCTCCACAATGTCCTTCTCTGGTTTTAGTCTGTGCTACATAAGCCCCTTCATGCTATTTCTTTTCCTGCTGAAAGAGGAAGCCGATCAGTCCTGAATTTAATTTTACTGGAAGCACAAGCAAAGGAGTGATGCTCTTGCCTTTTGCTTGGACTCTGAAGTTATTCCCTTCTCGGCAGAGGTTGCTGTGAAGTCAGCACAGTGTTTGTAGCTCTCAAATGTGGGCCAACAACAACTGTGACCTAGCAGTGTTGCAGTGAAGCTCCCAGGACAGGTTGTGCAAGCCCAGCTTTTTGCAGCCTGTGTGCACTGAGCTGTGGGATGAGACAGGAGGAGCCTGTCCCCCATCTGCCTGTACTGGGTATGAAAGAATAGAATGATGCAAATGTGATCTTTTCTTCCTTGGTTCAGAACAAGGGCTGTGCAAAGGGGAGTCACACCCTCAGCCACTGCATCAGCAAATGTGACAGAAGCAGCTTTGCCAGCACCACATTCAGGAGCTACAATGAGCAAGGCAGGGTGAACTCTGCTCTCTGCCATCGTGCATGGGGGGATGCAAAGGTGGTTGCTCTGATTCTGTGTATAAATTACTGCCCTAAAGCTATTTATAGGCATGTAAATAAGAATCTAAAGCAACTTATCTTTTATTCTTGGCACAGTGCCATTCTGGTGAGCTCTCTGCTGGCATATGTTGTGCTGAAGTGCTGGAATGATTCAGTGTAGCTTTTCAGGGCTGAGTTGAACTTTCTTCTTGCACTGCTGTTCCCTGCATGCTGCTCTTCTTCCCTGCTGGGAGCCTTTCTCCCAGGAGATGCCCTTCTCCAGCCTGCCTGCCTCCTACAGCCGTGTCATGTAGCTTGTGACAATCTGCTCTCTTGACTCATGCTCAGCCTGGTTCAGCTGCTCTGTGCAAGATCTCACTATTTTCCTTTGGCATTTGCATGAGACCAGCACACAAATGCTTCTGATCATGAAAATCCCGTGTATGACTGCGAAGTAGCTGCCATAAATTAAAAACTGGGAGAGGAGGAAAAAAAGGCAGAACAATTAATGAAAAACACATTAGAGAAATGCTGCTTCTTCTGAAGATGACAGTCACTCTGATTTTCTTCTGGCAGTTTCTCTACACTTGAGTTTTTGCTTTGTGATTAAGCAAAATTTCAGCTTTTCAAGTATACAGCAGAAAACTGTGAAATGAAGAACTGCCCCTTTCTCCCATTCCTCATGCCTCTTAATAAACATCAGACAGGGAGAGAGATAAGAACAGGATATTTTTTTCTATTAATGCAAAATAAGAAGTACCTTCGTTACGCACACAGTCATGAATAATCTACATGAAGAACCTGAGTTCATCCTTGTTTTGCACGTTTCAGTAACTGTCACCACAATGGTTTCAGTAAATACACTGTGATTTTATATCAGTATTTCCAACAACAGTGGCAAGGCTATTTATGATGTCCTACATATTCCTGTCCTTAATTTTAAAGATTTAATGTTTGATTCAATCTTTACTCTTTGAAAGTCACTTTTGCCTTCTCTGTGCAGAGTGTGAATAGCTTTAGTCTTCAGACCCATTAGAGCAGAAAGCTGTCCCAGCTGAGAGCCCATCTGAGGAAATGCAGAAGTCAGCAGGTTTCAGTTGACTTCAACATGAGTGACACTGGGTTGAAGTTAGGGACACAGTTGTGAGATAGGATGTCCCATCCCAAATGAAATGCCCAAGCTGTGGGCAGAAGACTCTATTGTACGTGTTGAGATACAGACCAGGTTTGCTCCTGAGCTGGAATCAGAAGTTACTTGAGCTAAAATAACTCAAATCATCCAGACTGTGCCTCATAGTCCTGAACTCCCATTCTACATCTGACAAAACCAGTCTGAGCTTTTGGGCAGAGAGGATGGTGTCTTATTAACTACTAAAACTGGTTGGATAGCAGGGCCTGGTTAGTTATGTTCTGGTGTCTCTCCCTTTGAAAACTAACAGACCAGCATCTGTAATCCTAAATGCATTAAAAGGCAAAGGGGAAGAGTGATGACAAATAGTGATGAAGAATGACAAGGGAAGAACGAGATGTCTGGATTTCTATAGAAGAAAGATAATGAAGTTGTCTTTTGGCATAGGAATTTTGAAGATGACTTGGCTGAGCAGTAATAGGAAGTAAAGGTAACTGCACTTACTTGAGTCACTATGTCCAGTCCCAGGCCTCTTGAATCTACAACAATTATTGTAAGAATAGTCTGGATCAGCAGGGCAATGAAGTTGTTGAATCCAAACATCAGGGCATAGCGCTCCATGCTCAGATTGACGGCAATCTGGAACCTAACGGGAAACTGGCAGGTCAGTCACTTCCCACGGGAAAAGCTATTGCTGTCTAGCAGTTGATGAAGAGAAAATTATTCATGGAGATGATGCATCAAGGACAGAGGAAATGGTGCTTCATTTGTTTGTTTGCTTCCTTGCTTT